GCCCAGCATCTTGGGCGCCTTGTGTGCTGGAGCGCTTGTTACTTGCCAGCCTCTTCCTTCCTGGGTCTAAAGCTTGGTCTCTTTACCTCCCGGCCGCCAGTCAACAGGGGAGCCAGATGGAGCCCGTCTGGAGGACTGATGTGGCCTCCTCCAGCCACCCGATAGAGAAGAAGACTCCCGGCTGCCTGGCATGGGACCAGCTGGGGGGGTACCCAGACATCCCCCGGCTCCTGGTGATGGATGTGCACTCCTCCTACCACAAAAGTTTGATGACCCTCAAGAGCCGGTAAGCAGGAGATCAGCTGGCTCATCCGGATCTGGGGGAACCCGTCCACGAGCAGGGTCCACGGAGCACACTGTCCCTCTCCAAGGGTCCGAGAGCACTCTCTCCAAACGTTAACAAGGACCCCGGGGTGGTGTCCTACTTCAGCAGAGGGATGCTTATGGGCATTGGGCTTGGGCCCTTCACGCTGCCTTATGGAAACCTTTGCACAAGTCCTTCCTTTACGCTTGTCTCTTGGGCTGTGCCGGAATTGCTAGCAAGTCGCAGCTTGCCCTGGGCCTGTGGGAGAGCCAGGTAGAGGAATGGCAAGATGAGGGGGACCTTGAGTCTGCTGACACCCCCGAGAGTCGAGCCTGGCCACGTTTGGCACTTTCATCTCCCCACTGTCTTCAAGAACCGGCCGTGGGAAGGACAGTCAGGGCCAATCCAACTCAGGAGGAGGCCAGGGAGGGTCCTGAAGGCCTAAGCCTGAAGATGTTGCTTTCAAGAATTCAAGGTTCTTCCAAGGGACTTTTCTAGGTCAGGAATCCCATCTGCTCCGTAGCCCCGGCCCAGTGAAAGACACCCAGCCAGGCCACCCAGAACCATAGGGAGGAGGAGGGTGGGCTGCTACTGCTGCCCTTTAGGCAGGCATTCCTGAGACAGGGGCATGGTGCATCGAAGACAGCCAGACCCGACTGTGCCCCCAGCAGGAACCAGACTTCTGCCTCTAGCCCACCTTGTGCTCATGCTGCCCTTTAGGCAGGCATTCCTGAGACAGGGGCATGGTGCATCGAAGAAAGCCAGACCCCACTGTGCCCCCAGCAGGAACCAGACTTCTGCCTCTAGCCCACCTTGTGCTCATGTTTGCTGCTGACAAGTTGGCCTGACATCCAGCAACCCTTGCACCATGGGATCTGAGACTCGTGGGGGCTTGTCAGTGGGCATACACACAGCAAAGCATACAGCAAGCCACCTGTCTCTACATGCTCCATTCAGCCACAGAGAGGACTTGCTTCCAGTTGTCTAACCATCCCTCCCTTGTAGACATGCATTCACTGCTGGCTAAGGTTCCCAGCGGACCTTCTGAGTTGCCCTCGCCAATGTGATCCCATATAGCTAGTTCTCAAGAGAGCCTAATGCTCGGGGCAGACCTTAAGACTTCAAGGGGATGCTTTTGATTTAGGTTTAAAGATTGCCTCAGAGCAATCGGTTCAGGGGTCGATCCCACCTTCATGGCTCCCTTTTGGTCTGGACCCTTCAATGAAATCTTTGATCGAAATGTTTAGTAACAGTTGCCGGGCACCATGTAGCTCTTTGGGGCTCATGGCAAAGGGGCCAGTTTCCCATGAGGCAGCTCTTCCACACAGTCTCTATTCTCTTCACTCCCCTTCATCCTCTGTTCATCCAGGCTCAGAGTCTGTAGAGTTTTCATTCACTGGTTTTTGGAAGTAGACTGCCAGGCCTTTTTCGCTAATCTGCCCGAGTCTGGAAGTATTTGCTGAAACCTGTTCAGCATCATGGCGACTCACAAGCTTCCCCTGGCAGATGGCTGGGGCCACGCTTCAGGCACCTGGCCGGGTCTCCGGCATGGGACAGTGCAAGTTCTGTTACTGAGCTACCACTGGTCCCACCTGGTGCCCGAGAGCTGGATTTGAATTTCCGAAGCGTTGCCAAGGGTGTGTGTGTGTTGACTTGTCTCTCTTAACTGGAGCGTGTGGCTATGGCAAACAGCAGCGAGAGTGACCCAAAGGACCTTGTGGCAGAAGCCAGTGGCACCGAAGTCAGCCGGGGCCACACTCCTCGGAGGTGTGGCTGGACTTGTCCAGTGGCCTGCCTCTCTGAGCTCCCTGCCTTTCCTCCATGCTCCCTGACCAGGGTCTGGCTCTGCCCAGCATCTGTGGGCTCCCAGGCCAGCCCCTTTGTTCTTCCCACATGCAAAGATACGCCTGCACACACTCCACCGGGTCCCCAGCCTGGCGTGATTTTAGTGACTCTGAAAACGCCAGGGGCTGGAGGGGACAGGATTCGCACAGCACAGCTCATCTTAGCAGCCCTCTTTCTTCCCCTCCCGCCTGGCCTCGCTGGTGCAGCCTGCCAAATTCAAAACCCCCTCCCACACCCAGGTTGCGCCCGCGTCTCAACTCTGTCTGAGCCCAAAATACTGTTCCCAGGAAAGGTACCTTCCCCTTTCCAAGGGAATTCGGTACCTTCCCCTTTCCAAGGGAATTCGGCGGAACACAGCTTTTTTTGTCCCCCAACAACTCACAAGTCTATGCAACGTAGCACATCACTGCACGTAGAAGGCGAGCCCTGCGGTCCCTAGTTGGCACCGCTGACCTGGGCACCAGGCTAGCCCTGGCGTTTTGGCACAGGGGCTCTCTTGGGCAAGCTCTCCGACACGGCCAGGACTCATGCTGCCTTCCTCAGGCACAATCTGTGTGTGCTGTGCCCTTCTGGACATACTCCGGGGCCAACCGCCAAGGTGCAGCCTCCCTTTGGCCACATGTCCCTGAGCCCCCATGAGCCCTCGTGACCACTTGCTGTGTCGTTCACCACCCCTTTGTGGCCGGTGGGCTTGTCTGTGGCCACACTGTCCAGCTCATGGTTTCACACCCAGGGCTGACTCACCCTGGCCACCCTGTGCTCCTGCTCAGACTGCCCGTGCCTGAACTGGGCAATTCTTGGTAGGGGCGAAGGATCCATGCTCCCTCGGTGGTCTGAACCCCAGAATAAACCATGGCCCTCCGAGCCCAGCAGGCCCCCTTTGCCAGAAGCCATCCCTGCTTGGTCTGACAAGTGCTGCAGAGCTGAATGTGTCCACACTGCAGGGGCTGGCCCTGCCTGGCTCAGGCTTGGGGCCCCTTTCTGCCCAGTCCGAGTGCATGCCGGCATGTGAGCGGGCTTCCAGGTACAGCGGGGCACAGCCTCTCCCAGATGGCCAGCACTGGGGACAGACGAGCGGGCTTGGTGTCTTAGGAGTAGGTAAGGTGGGCAGGAAGAACCAGGGAGGAGAAGCAAGAATGAGGGGAAGGAGGAGGAGGTATTCAGGGAAGTGCGACAAGAGGCAGGACTCAAGAAGACTGGCAGAGGCCCAGAACTGGGCAGCAACCTTGTGTTAGCAGCTCCTGTCTGGGCCTGTCCGGCCAGCACTGAGCTGGCCACCACACATGGCCAGGAGAGCTCTTGGGTGGGCTGGCAGGGCCTCAGTGCCACCTCCCCCTGTAACCGCACTAACTCTTGCAGTGCCGTGACCACCCTAAGAAAGGACAGCCAGGATGAGTCCTCAGATGAGCCAGCTGAACTTGTGTGCAGGAGGTCCAGCGAGTCCCTGCTGGGAGCCCCATGGAAGCCAGAAGCACCCGACAGTGCCAGTCCCCGCTCCATCCCTTAGCCCGTGGCTCTCACATGGGGACTTGTCACAAGTGCAGGGGCCCTCCAGGGGCACTGGGGGCTGCTGAGGGGCCTCTAGCCCCCAAACTGTACATTGTTAATAAAATAGACATTTATTTTTTAAATGTTTCATCTCCTTTCTGAAACCTTCAGCGCTCGGGTTCATTTCTGGAACCAGGCCCCAGACCCTCTGGCTCCCAGAGGTTGCCTCTGGGGCCCAGCAAGCCGAGAGGGCCACAGCTAGAGCCTGGCACAGAGGGAGCACCTGTTGTGCACTGAATACGGCCCCTTCCCCCCTAAAGGGTGTGTGGTCAATCCGGAGCCCAGTGCTTGCGGTTCCGTTTGGGGATGGGTTGTCTTTGTCCTGGTCATGACGCAGCCTGGTGTGGCGTGTGTCTTCAGGCGCTCTTTTGAGGCAAAGGGATTAAACAGGTTGGGAAGAAATGGGGTGAGAGAGATGCCAGGGAACAGGGAACCAAGAAGCTGAAGCGACGAAAACCTTCCTTGTCCAAGAGTCCCACAGAGGGAGAGAGCGTTCCCCTCCAGACAGCACTCTGATTTGGACTCCTTGCGGCCTAAACTGTGAGAAACTAAATTTCTGTTTGACGAAGCCACCCCCTTGCGGTATTTCTGTGCCTGCCAGAAGCACCAGACACCAGGTGTTAGTGAGTAGAAACCAGCTGCGTCAGTAAGTGCACTGTGGCTCACAGTGACATGTGCGTCAGGCCAGACCTGCAGGCACGCCGTAGGGTTTTCTTTTCTGGCTTCCTTTTTCCGCGCAGTTTTATTGGCATTAATTCACCCACCATACAATCCAGTGGTTCAATCACATCCGAAAGAGCTGTGCTGGCATCACCCCTGTCAGTCTTAGAACCTTGTCTTCATTCCTCTGCTCGTTGTTTTTAGCTCCCCACTTCCCCACAGCCACAGCATTTCGACGGCTGGTGTTTTGGAAGTCGATCACCAGGCTTTTCTTCCGAGGTGCCTGGGTGGGTTCAAACCTCCAACCTTTCAGTAACTCTCCAGTGAAGCAAAACAAGGACAAATAAGTAACCGACACGGAGGTGATGAGCATAAACACTCAGAGGATAAGAGCCACGGGAGACACGGGAACCAGTTGCAGCCAGACGTCACTGGCGGGGGAGACAAACGGGAGAGAATTGGAGATAGAGGGGTCCCAGATCTGGGTGGTGTGGGCTAAGCAAGCTGTCTCTGCAATAAGCCAGTCAATTCAGTGGAGAGAATTGGAGATAGAGGGGTCCCAGATCTGGGTGGTGTGGGCTAAGCAAGCTGTCTCTGCAATAAGCCAGTCAATTCAGTGATGAGACTTCTATCATTAGGTCATTCAGCTAGCCCTGCCCCAAACACGACTATCCACCAGGGCCCCCTTTCTGTCTCCACTCATCCTGCCAGACCCAGGCCGGAGACCAGGTGACTGAGCCAAGTCAATGAAGCAGTGCCTCCTCTGAAAGGGGGTCTCGGTGTCTGGAAAGCAGTGAGAGTTTGTGGGGATGGCAGACTGGGCAGTGGCTACAGGTGCTGCCCACCACTTGTCCATCGGTTTGTGTTGCTGTGATGGTTTGTGTGTTGCTGTGATGCCGGAAGCTATGTCTCTGGTATTTCAAATGCCAGCAGGGTTACTCAAAGTGAGCTTCCAGACTAAAAACAGATTAGAAGAAGGAATTGGCTGTCCGTTTTGGAGGAAGTCGCTGCTGAAAAGCTAATGCAGAGCGCTGAAACACTGTCCGATAAGGAAGGCCTCAGGGATGGTGCAGCAGGGCGGGGGCCTCGGGTCAGAGGGCCCTGGAATCGTCAGGAGCTGTGCTCTCAGAGTAGCGTTAGTCCTGGCGGCGGGAATGAGGCAAGCCTGCAGGACCTTCATTTCCGATGTGGCACAACTCAACATTTGAGACATGGCTGCACACAATCTACTAAGAAACAGAACTTGCAACCTGGAATTCATCAAAAATGAAATGGAACACATAAAGATTGATAGCCTAGGCATTGGTGAGCTGAAATGAACTGATATTTGGCCATGTTGAATCAAAAGAATTATGATTTACTATACTGGGAACGACATAGTCAAGACACCCATTCATTGCCAGAAAGGACACTGCAAGGTCTATCATGAAGTGCAATACTGCCTGTGATGGGATGACATCAAGGAAATCCAGTCGATACAACCATTACTCGGATTTAGGCAGCAACCCCAAAAGCGAGTGATGGGGAATTGAAGAATTCCACCAGTGCCCTCACTCTGACACTGACAAGGCATGCAATCAAGATGCATTGATACTATTGGCAATTGGAATGCAAAGTCAGAAACGAAGAGGAAGGAGCGGTAGTTGGAATATGTGGTCTTGGTGACAGAAACCAAGCTGCAGACTGGATGACAGAATTGTGCAAGACCAACGACTTGTTCACAGAAAATACCTTTTTCAACAAAGCAAAAGGCAACTATATCCATGGACTTCCCCAGATTTTTGGTTTCCCCAGAAACCAAATGGACTATATCTGTGGGAAGAGCCGATGGAAAAGCTCAATTTCAGCAGGTAATCTCAGGGGCGGGCTGTGGAACAGACCAATTGTTCATATGTAAGTGAGGGTTGAAGTTGAAGAAAATTAAAATAAATCCACAAGAGCCAAAATATGACCTTGAGCTTATCCCACCTGCATTTCAAGAACAGATTTGCTGCACTGAACACTAATGGCAGAAGACCTGATGCATCTGGGAAGACATCAAGAACGTCACTGTTGAAGAAAGCAAAGAGTCATTAAGACAAGAGAGAGAGGATCAAGGTGGATGACAGAAGAGACAATGAAACCGTTCTTAATCATAGAGTAGCTAAGGCAAATGGAAGAAATAATGAAATCAAAGAGCTAAACAGAAAATGTCAAAGGGCAGCTCGAGAGAAGTAAAATATTATAATGAAATGTGCCAAGACCGACATTAGAAACCCAAAAGGGATGAGAACACACTCAGCATCTCTCAAACTGAGAGGACTCATAGAAAACTTAAGCCTTGAATTGCAGTATGGAAAGACCCTATGGACAAACTAGTGAACGATGCAGGAAGCATTAAAAGAAGATGAAAAGAAGACACAGAGTCACCGTACCAAAAAGAACTAGTCGACAGTCCGCCATTTCAGGAGGTGCCATATAGCAAGAACCCATGGTGCTGGAGGAAGAAGCTCCACCCGCACTGAAAGCATCCGCCAAAACAAGGGTCCAGGAACTGATGTAAGACCTATTAAAATGTTTCAGCAAGCTGATGAGGCACAGGAAGCACTCACTCCTCTATGCCGGGAAATGTGGAAGACAGCTACTTGGCCAACTGACTAGAAGAGATCCTTCTTTATACCCATTCCAAAGAAAGGTGAGCAGAATGGTTATTATAGAACAATATCATTAAGATCACATGCAAGTAAAATTTTGCTGAAGAGCATCCAACAATGAAGGATTGCAGCAGTACATTGCAGGGAGCTGCCAGAGGTTCGGACAGCGGAACGAGACGTGGAACAAGGGATAGCATTACTGATGTCAGATGGCTCTTGGCTGAAAACAGAGAATACCAGAAAGATGCTTATTTGTGTTTTATTGACTATGCCAAGGTGACTGTGTGGATCGTAACAGACTATGAAGAGCCTTGAGCAGAATGGGAATTCCAGACACTTCACATACTCGTGTGGAACTTGTACATGGACAAGAGGCAGTTGTGCAACAGAACAAGGGATGATTATAGGGTTTAAAATCAGGAAAGGTGTGTGTCAGGGTTGTAGCCTCTCACTGTACTTACTCTATCTGTATGCACAGCAAACCATCAGAGAAGTTGGCTTATATGAATGTGGCCTTCCTCAGGATTGGAGGAAGGCTTATTAACAACCTGAGATTAATATTAATGAGTATTAATATGTTAATGAATGTTAATAAGCCTTCCTCAGGATTGGAGGAAGGCTTGTTAACAACCTGAACTATGTGGATGACACAACCTTGCTTGCTGAAAGTGAGGAAGTCTTGAAGCACTTGCTGATGAAGCTGGAGGATTGTAGCCTTCAGTGTGGATTACAACTCAGTTGTAAAGAAGACCAAAGTCCTCACAATTTAACATCCTGATCAATGCAGAAGAGACTGAAGCTGCCAAGGATTTTGTCTGGCTTGGGTCCAAATCCATGCTGGTGAAAGCAGCAGTCGAGACAAACATTGGGGAAATCTGCTGCACAGACCTCTCGAGTGTTGGAAAGCAGGGAGGTCACTCTGAGGACTAAGGGATGCCTGACCAAGCCACAGTGTGCTCAATTGCCTCATACATGAGGTACGTGTGAAAGTTGGACATTGGATACGGAGCTGACAAAGAACATTTAAAGTACTGTAGACTACCAAAGGACAAACAACACTGTCTTGGAAAATATACATCTAGAGTGCTCTTTAGAGGCAAGGAGGGTGAGACTCAGTCTTACATACTCTGCCTATGTTGTCAGAAGACACCAGTCCTTGCATTACACTTGGTAAAGCGGAGGGGCAGTGAAAAAGAGGAAGGCTCTCAGGAGATGGGTTGACACAGAGGCTGCAATAAGGGCTCCGGCATTGCAACAATTGGGAGGATGGTGCAGGAGCAGGCAGTGTTTTGTACGGTGGTGCTTCGGGTCATTATAAGTTGGAACTGACTGACGCGGTGGCACCTAACAACAGCAGCACAAGTGCTGCCTACGCACTGTTTAATATCATCGTGTCACCGGATGAGCTATGGGAAAGCACTGAGCTGGTAACGGGTGCACTACACAACGAGAAGAAAGAAACAGCGGCTGTCCTCAGAGAGCACACAGAGTGCGGAAGTCCAGGGACTGTTTCTCAGGCCCGGCATCCAGCCTTCCTCGCAGATCAAGGCTGAGCCTCCGGAAGGCCGAGGCGATGTGGAGTGTTAACCTCCCTGAGGATGCTGCCAGGAGCACGCGTTGAGTTGACGCATTGGAATTGTGGTGTTGGCAGTGGATATTGAAAATTCTGTAGACTGCCAGAAGAACAAACAAATGTGTTGAAAGACAGCCAGCCAGCATGCTCCTTAGAAGCGAAGATGGAGAAACTGCGCCTCATTTACGCTAGC